CCGCGCGCCCAGCCGGCGGGCGGGGTCGGCCCCCTCCCCGGCCTCCGCCTTAAAGCGACGCGGGACGGCGGGAGGGACTTCAGGACGCGCTAGGAACTGGTCTTCTGTGGGCCACCCCCATTCTCCCTCCCCTAAGGCAGAACTGGGAAGGCCCTGATTCCGGGGCGGTGGCCTTGTCCACGGAACTTCTAGGATGCACTCACATTAAGTTACACTGGAAAGTTAAAAGGAGCAAAGAGCTCAAGCTGAGACTGTCTCTCCACCACCCGCAGCAAGTCGTGGCGGCGTGGTATCGGTGGGGTGGCAGGCCCCCAAAGAAAGCAGTCCCTACCAGAGTGGCGCTGTCTTTATTCAAACCATTATTTACTGAGCACCTACTATGTGCCAAGTAGGAGGCTAGGTGCTGGGAAAATAGCAGTTGACAAAATATAGTTTCTGTTCTTCATAAAGCTTGCAGCCTGAAAGAGGGACAGGGGAGAGGGGAGAGAGGAAGAAAGATTGAAAAAAGGAAGGGAAGGAGGGAGGGAGGGAGGGAAAGAATCAAAAGAGGTCATACAAGAAAATGCTCTGGATGAAACAAAACTGTATGTGTGAGAAGATGGGTTTTGCTGCATGGCAGCTGGAGGTGACATTTGGTCTGAGAACTGCATGAAGAGGAGCCAGCCCCTGGAATAACAGCCATTACAAGGGACTTACTGTGTGATAGTACTGTCACCTTACACATGTTCACTCACTCCTGTTAATCCTATGAAGTGGGCACTATTTCCATTTTTCAGGTGAGGAACCAGGGGCACAGGCACCAGGGTCCCTACCAGAGTGCTGCTCAGAGAAACCAGGGTCAGGACTCAGGGAGGGGACCAGAATTATCCTTCCTCAACTGCTGGGAGTTTGTCTGTATCCTTTATCAGACCTACATTGGGACCTCAGTCAGGGGGAGCTCCTCCTGAATTTATCTAAATAATCATCTTTATTTAGTTAACACTCATTCCACCGTCCCTGTTCTCACCATCAATTAAGGAGAGCAGGATGAAGGCAATAAAAATGTTCAGAGTCCAGCTGCCACCTGGGAATCAGAACTGAGGATGGCTCCTGAGTTAAGCACCAAGATTACTCCCAGGAAATCCTGAGCTGAGCCTGTTAGAGCTAAGCAAACTTGCTTTCAGAACCCATCTCCACTACTATTAGCAATCAGACGGCAGTCTGTCAGTCAGGATTCTTTGGGTTGTAAGTGACAGAAACACAGCTCAAACAGAATTGACTGTATCATGTTAACAGAAATCTAGGGGATCCTACTTCAGTAAGGCTGGATTTAATTACTCTCCATAGGCCTCTTAGCTCTGTTTTCTTCTAAGTTGGCTGCACCCTCTGCCAGGCCCTCTCCATATGCCCCTGGGTGCTCTAGCTTCACTTTAGCCTCACTTTAACCTCGCTGAGAAGGGAAAGAAAGTTTTGCTTGCCTGAAAGTTGCAGTAAATGCTATGCCGAGGGGTAGCCTTGGGTCATATGCTACAAGCATCCCAGTTAGAGAATGCACTGATTAGCCTGGCCTGTGGTGGAGCTATGGACTGAACGGTGTCCCTTCAAATTTCATAGGTTGAAGCCCTTATCCCCGACGTAACCGTATGTGGAAACTTTAGGAGGTAGTTAAGGTTACATGAGGTCAGAATCCAATGATGAGCCCTAATCCAATAGAACTGGTATCATTATAAGAGGAAGAGAGAGAAAGAGGAAGGTCTCTCGTTACCACACACCAAGGAAAGGCCTTGTGAGGACACAGGGAGAAGGTGGCTGTCTGCAGGCCAGGAGAGCCTTCACTAGAAGCCTGACCTTGCCGAAACCTTGACCTTGGACTTCCAGCCTCCAGAACTGTTAGAAAATAAATTTGTCTTTTAAGCCACCCAGCCTGTGGTATTTGTTATATATACAGCCCCAGCTGACCAAGACAGTTGGATACCCAATTCTGGAACCAGGAGGTGAGGTGAGCCTTGCCCAGACCGTGTGGGCTGTGGTCCCCAAAGAAGTCAGTATGCTATGCTGGAGAAGAGGGAGGGGATGTTTTGGCATGTGAAAGCAACAGGTGGCCACCATATTTTGATAAATCCCTTAATCACACTTTGCTTTAATTTCCCCATCTATAAAGTAGGGGTAAAACTAAGAGGGTGACTTATTTTCCCCCTAGTAGATAGGATGGCATGCTATCATCAACCATACAAAAAGGGCGATGCTCTAGATGAGAGGTCAGAAAACATTCTGTGTAAGCATTTTAGGCTTGTGGGCCGTACAATCTCCTACAACTACCAGAGTTGGCTGCTGTAGTTCCAAAGCAGCTACATTTATTTTCTGGGGCTGCTGTAACAAAGTACCACAACTGGGTGGCTTAGAACAACTGGAATTTATTCTCTCACAGTTTTTAAGGGCAACAGGCTGTACTACCTCTGAAGCCTTTAGGGGAGGATCCTTCCTTGCCTTGTCCAGCTTCTTTTTTTCCCTTTTCTTTTTTAAAATATATTTTTTATTAATTTCAGAGGGAGAGGGAGAGAGATAAAAACATCTATGATGAGAAAGAATCATTCATTGGCTGCCTCCTACACACTCCACACTGGGGACCGAGCCCACAACCCAGGCATGTGCCCTGACCCGGAATTGAACCATGACCTCCTCGTTCATAGGTCAACACTCAACCACTGAGTCAGGCCGGCTGGGCAGCCTTGTCCAGTTTCTGGTGACTCCAGGCATTCCGTGGCTTGTGGCTGCATCACATTAACTTCTGCCTCCATCTTCACGTAATTGCTTCTCTGTGTATCTTTTTTTTAAAAATTGATTTGAGAGAGAGAGGGAGAAAGGGAGAGAAACATCGATTTGTGTTCCATTTATTTATACATTCATTAGTTGATTCTTGTATGTGCCCTGACCAGGGATTGAACCTGCAACCGTGGTGTATTGGGACCAACTGAGCTACCCGAACAGGGCCTGTGTCTGTATTTTTTCTTTTCTTTCTCTTATAAGGACACCTGTCATTGAATTTAGAGTCCACCTGGGTAATCCCAATGGTCTCATGCAGAGATCCTTAACTTAATTATTTCTTCAAAGACCCTTTTTCCAAGTAAGGTAACATTCACAGGTTCCAAGGGTTGGGATGTGGACATAGCTTTATGGAGGTATACTGGAAAAAGCTCACTTTTCCCTCCTGTATCTCCTTTATCATTCACACGGAACACTTCACCCCACTGCACTAAGTCAATGATGTGTTTCTGTTACTGTTTTTCCAGTCCGTAATTGGTTCCCATAGCTCACTTCCTCCAAAGAGTTCAGGTACAGACCTCAGAACTTTGCCCTTGGAAAATCTACCGTATGTGTCAGAGCAAATACAAGCCCACTTATTTATTAGTTTATTATCCACTTTTGTGGGTTCTTACTGTATGCCAGGCAGAGGGGGACCTGAAGGAAAACAGGGCACTCCCAGCTGACGGATTAAAACACCGCACACATCCATCACACAATATGGGTGGATTCAGAAAAAGGTTTTGTAGACTTTTGATAATTATTTCATTAAAAATTTCCTTTAATGTTTAATACTTGACAAAGTCCACTCCTGTTGTGTTTTTTTTAACAGCTTAGCAAATATATACACACAGCCCTCCCAACATTTCTGATATCCCAGAGGTGTGTCTCCCAACACTGATGAGAGGAAAAGTGAAAGAGGAGGTGACTCATTTCCCATGGAGGCCGGGAAGGCTCTCGGGAGGAGACATATGACTAGGCTGTGAAGGATGGCAAAAGACAACACTGTATCATATATTCCATGTGCCTCCTGGACACAGCCCTTCCTATAGTTTCTCCTAAAATGCTCAGAACAAGCCCAGTGAGATAGGGGCTGTCATCAATGCCTTTTCAAATGGGGGGAAAGTGAGGCTAAGAGAGGATGAGTCACATGGCTGGCAAGGCTACTTCAGAGCTGGGCTCTAATTGCTGGGGCTTTTATTCCTTTCACATTGTAAAGGGTTTTATTGCACAGAAAGAGCACTCTGGGAAGGCAGGTTAATTTATGTTTGTATCTATTTTACTAACCAGCTGATGAGGTTCTTGGAAGGAGGGACTTTGCCATAGTCATCTTAGTATCAGAAGCACCCAACACTGTGCCTGGAACATTACAGGGGTTTTCTGAATAAATGAATGAATGAATGGTGTTTCTATCAGCAGAAATTCAGGGAGGCCATTCCAGGTAATGGGAACAAAATGTGTAAATGCTCAGGTCCAAGAGCATGTCATAGTTGGGGTCAGGGGGAGACAGGACATCGGTCCTATTGTTGTAGAAGTCTAGAGTTGGTGAGTGGATACTGTGGCATTCACTGACCATCCATTCCAGCCTTCTTCTGCAAGCTGGGGCTGGAAAGCGAAACACATTCCCACATTCCCTGGCATGGGGACAGGAGCTGCCCAGGACACCTGCTTTGCTAGTGCAGCTGGCAGCAGAGGTGGGTGGTTTTGAAGCCCACAGTTGGGCCCTGATTCCACAGGCAGCTCCCCCGTGGGGTGGAGGCGGCAGCTCCCTCAATGGCCCAGCCGGCTGTTTAACTTACGAATCCTTTCTGGAAGTCCCAGAGTTCTTTCCTGCAGCTTTCCCATAGCTTCTCAAACTAAACTGCAATAACTGATCTGTTGCTGTTTCTTAAACTTGTCCTGTCGGTTCTACTCTGCATGACTCTTACACAGCACGTGGCACATGCTACTCAGAACACCCACATGGCCTAGCCTCTGTTCAGAGAGACGAGCCCATCAATCACACTTTTGTGGCTGTCACAGCAATATTAAGTTGATGCAGATGTCTCTAAACACTTACTCTAAAGTGACTGGAGCAGAGCAGCCAGTAACAAGGCCTGACACACAGCTTTGCCAACAATGCCACCCAATACTGGATGGTGACCAAGTGACCTAAACCTAATCTAAGCAAGACTGTGGGCAGAGACGGGAGGGAGGAGGATGCATACATTCCGGTGCTTTACGAAGCTGGCCACAGCTTTGCAGCAAACACAGCTGGCTCCCTGGTTTGAATGGGACACAGAAACCATGAGGAAGTGGAACTCAGAATTAAGCAGCAGGCATGGAGCAGACAAAGGCTTTGAGAAAATAAATACCACAGCAGGTCAGGGGAGGGTAGGAAGGAGCAAGGACAGCAAGCAGCTGATCTGAGAATGGTGGGTATCAGAGCTGATGTTGGAGCACAAGGGCTGCTGTGTGCCTGTGACAAGCTAGATCGTCCCTTCTGAGCGAGCAGCTGCTGCCTCGGTTCCCTGTGGGTCCTTATAACAATCACTGCTAGACTCAGGGGTGGTTGTGGCATGAGTTGGGAGGCATTTTAGCTCAGTCCCCCAGAAAACAGGACCTAAGTGGACGGCATGCATGTGCATGTGTTCTGGGGAGTACAAAGCCAAAACCAGAGGGGAAGTGGAGCAGGGAAGGAAGGAGGATGCATACATGTGGTGCATTACCGAGCTGGCCACAGCTCTGCGGCAAACATAGCTGGCTCCCCAGTCACCAGAGATGCTGCACAGAGCCCCTTTATCTCTAATTAGCCGTTGAGAAAAAGGGCAGCCAATTCAACAGATGGTTCCTCCCCCCTTCCTGTCCCTCATCTGTCAAAGTATGCCCACTGGGCATTAATGCTGGCACTTCCTGGCTGTGTCTCCAGGTTGATGGAGAAGCCAGTCCCTGCAGGTCTAGTCT